AAAAAAAAAAAAAGAAGGAAAACACATTTAAAGAATTAAATAAGATCTCTCATAAGAAAAAAAATTTTTTGTAACTTGACACAAAGATGGTATACCTCCTTAAATACGATGAATAAAGTAACAATTTTTATATTAAATTATATAATGCCGCGTTTTACTTTAGTCAAGATGAGTTTACCAATTTGGACTTAATTGAGCATATGTGGGACAGTTAGCATCTATTTTACTGTAAAATTATAATTTGCCTTCCTAAGAGATGTTTTAAGATTTTGTATTATTAAAACAACTGTCTCAATGGGAAAAGGTAGACATTTCAATAATAAAAAGTTGTTTGTTTTTTTAATACTTATGGGTATTTTATTATTAAGTTAAAAATATGATTCACTGGTACTACCATTTAAACAGTTTACTTCCTTATTGACTTTTTATTCTCTACCCTCAGGGCCTCTTGGTCTCTGTTACCACCTTTTGCATTGACCTTCCAGCTTTGATTGCAACATTTCACAGCCACACATAGAAAATGTAAGAACTGCAGGAGTAGATGTGACATCAACCAGGGAGCTTCTTGAAATAGCTCTACGTGCCAGTGTTTTGCTTAGAGTAGCTTTTTTTTCTCCTTCCTAATTTTGTTATAAGCAGTAGTTGTTTGCATTTTATAAATTTTATTTCCTAATTAATCAAAATTATATACAGCTTGCAATATGAAAACCAGTGCTATAGGAAGAACGTTTGTGTTAGCGGTTATGGTGGAAGATACTGGTCGTCTGAGTAGTGTTATCCCACCCTGAAGATGATTCCAAGTCTCCCCTTGTGATAAAACCCCACAATGCCATCTTCCACTGATGAATTAAATTTTATTTCTCTTTTTGTCCCCAGGAATAGCAACAACTATAACTACAGGATTAACTCTGTGTAAGAATTTTTGAGGAAAGATTCCCAGATCTGTGGTTTTCTACTCTTCTCGTAATATCTCACAGAGCTGGGGTATAGAAGGAAGCATGTAAGGAACCTAACAGAGATCACAGACACTCATCACAGAACCTTTTAGTACTGGCGTGTTTTAAAAAGTCAGTGACTTTTTAATTCAGAAAAAAAGCCTTAAATACAGAAGTGGTTTTTCTGTGGAAATTTCACATTACAGTTTGCAGTTATTTGAGTCCTTGTAGTGAAAAAAGCACCACACTACATAGCTCAGAAGTCTTGGAATTAAACCCTGCTTATACCTCCAAGTCGTCGTGAGGTCTTAGGTAGTCATGTAATATCTGGCAGCTTTTAGTTATCTATAAAGTGAAAGTATTAGACTAAAAAGTTTTTGACTTCCTTCTGGCTCAAAAATACCCTCGTTCTCTGCAGTGAGATGCCAAATGGAATGTGAGTAACTAGAATGGCGATTAATAATGTCAAAGGAAAGGAATGAATGAAAGGACAGTGAGGAGCCTCAATTAAAATTAAATTTATTAATTAAAGTTAAACCAAAAGTTGAAATAAATTCAAGATTGGTGGACTGTTTTCATTTGGATGCTACTCACCTGGTATCGGGAGAAAGCATAGCACATCTGTTTACTACCAGCGGTTTGGACAGGACTGGCTTCAAGGACAAGCAGTTGGATTCTTTCATTTTCTGAGATTGTCGAACCCATGCAGGATTTCAAAGCACTGTACTCTGGCAGGAACTTCTGGTTGTGGTAAGGACAATCCAGAAGCTTAGTTTCTGGCTTCTTCGTGCTCTCGGGAGAAGCCAAAATGCAGGTTGTTATACACGTCTTCATTTAGTAGTTTTGAGCAGCTGCTGCTTCCTAACTGTGTGGCCTTAGGTGTGCATGACGGTTTGAACATTCAGTATTAGCTGTTGGTGTGGCGATGGTACTGGTGGTGAGGGCGGCGCGGATGACGTCAAGAACTACAGAGTGCGTGAGCAGGGCATTCGGTGTGTTCTGAGGTGAAGGGGACAGGCAGGTGTAGTAATATGTTCTTGTGTGATCTGATAAAGGCCATAACAGATGTATGAAAGGCACCAAGGAAGGAAGAGAAAGAAAAGGGTAGAAGTTTATTTGGGGGGCAGGAGACATTATTCCTGATGCAGGAATGGAAAGTGCAAAGGCCCGGTTATAAAAGGACCGGGGAAGTAGGAAAAATACTCGGTTCTTAGAGTTTTGGATTCAGAGGTGGGAATGGTACGGAGAGGGGATTTGAGGAGCAAGTTGGGACAAGACAGGAAAGGTGGTTGTGTGCCAGCCCTTTAGGCTGTAGCGTAGAGATAGTAGAGAGCTAATGGGAGCCTTCAGCCCGGGAGAATCAGCAGGGTATTATTTTTTGTTGGTATTCTCGCTTGTTTTTAAAGTAACTAACTGATTCAAAGAATAGATTAGAGGTTAGAAGGACTGACAGCACAGAAACAAATCAAGAGGTTGTGATAATAGTTCTTGAGAGGGAGATGGCCTGAGCTAAGGTTTTTGAAGATGCTTGTAATCCAGGGATATTTCTGCAGGAGCATTGACAGGGTTTGTGGCCAGTAGAATGTAGGAGAGAGAAGGGGCATCAGGGAGGGTCGTGGCTTCTGGCACGAGCAGCTGAGAGGACCACGGCAGGGGATTTAGGAGTGCTTTTGTCTAGGGGGATGCAGAGGTGCAGAGGGACATCCAGGCAGAGCTAGCCAGGGGAGACTCCAGGGGGTGTAAATCAAGACCGTGTTTCTGTGGTTGAAATTCTGCGGTTGGGAAGTAAGGAAGCAGGCCTGGTACCATAGGCAGCCTCATTTAAGAAGTGAACAGAGGAAGGAGATGGACGGAAGGAGACTTCAAGGAGTAGTGGGAGCTGACAGAAACCCAGAACACTAGGCAGTAGAGAATGCTGGTTTAAAGAGCCTTGGAGGGGAGGGAGACTTTTCTGCTGAGTATAAAGGAAGGGTAAATGCTCTTTTAGGTACATTCAGGGGTAGAGCTGAAAATGGATTTCAACATTAACACAGTGACTGGACTTTTTTGCTGTTCTTAAATCCCAGGGCCATCTTTTTTAAGCATGCACCCTGATTTGGTCCCACCTTTTATATGTCACTTTTTCGTGCACATACAAGTACATGGATCCTTGTTCTATCTGCAAAAGTAGACGGGCTCTATCTTTCAGGGATCCTGATTGAAACTGGTATGATACACACTTATGGTAAAATAGGATCTGTTTGTCTGTTTGCGCAGGAACGCCAGCCACAACATCCGCATCTACGACGGGTTTCAGTTTAGGATTCGCTAAACCTGCTGCGTCTGCCACACCATTTGCTCTGCCCATTACTTCTACCTCAGCTAGCGGTCTTACTCTTTCGTCTGCTCTGACGTCAACTCCTGCAGGTGAGGCACAATGGGAGAAGCCACCTCTTACGGTTGAATTTACTAGTTTTGCCGTTGGTGAACATAGGTATCCACCTTTATTATTAAAGAGAATTTTGGTTTTGGAAAGTTTATTTCAACCATGAGGCAGTTTTGACCTAGTAAACTACTGATTTGTGAAGAAGGCCATCACTGGTCCTTAAAGCAGGAGGGACCATCTTGGAGGTCAGTCTCTACTTACAGAGCAAAGCAGGGACAGAGTGAGAGGCAAAATGTAAAATTAGTAATATCCACTTTGTTTTCAGGGAGCATTTTGGTGACAGGGAAGGGTAAAGAGTTTGCATAAATATTGCCTGGCTTAGGATTCATTCCATTTCGAAGGCGAAGTTGGTGTCCTGGGTGGAAAAACTCCTTATTACTGTCTGGAATCAGTTACCTGATACCATTGTAGTATTACCCAGAACTCTTATTTCTGTCACTAGGTTTTGCTCTGAAGGTACGATTTCTCTTTATTCTTAGGTATATATATAATTTCATCTTTAATGAGTAGGTTTTCTTAAGTGAATTTTATCATGGACATGAAGGGTTGTTTGTTGTGTTTTTGTTTTTTTGCTTTTTGCATTTGTTGGGAAGTGTTTTTATTTTCTCTGGTGTTCTTAGAAATGATGTTTCCTTATGAAGGCTTACAATTTCATTTTTTACAGCATCTACAGGATTTACTCTAAATAACTTGGGTGGAACAACAGCCACGACTACTACTGCATCAACAAGCCTCTCTCTAGGGGGAGCCTTAGCTGGTTTGGGAGGTTCGCTTTTCCAGAGTTCGAACACAGCAACATCAGGTAATTGATGGTATTTACATTCCAGAAATAGTAGCTATTTATTTTTAAATTTACTTTATCTTTATTTCAGCCTTTTGAACAGGTCATTTTATCTCTTTAACCTATAGATTTTTTGTTCATTGTGAACACTGAACTAAAAAATAATGTTTTTCATACATAATTAGACATCTTAACTATGTAGAAATAAATTTTTCTGCTCAATATTTTTATTTATTTATTTAGAGCACATGAGCAGGGGAGGGGCAGAGAGGGAGAGAGAATCTCACTCTGTGCTCAGTGCAGAGCCTGACGTGGAGCTTAATCTCATGACTGCAAGAATGACCTAAGCTGATATCAAGAGTTGGGCACTTAACCGTTTGAGCCACCCAGGGGCCCCTCAGTATTGACTGACTAGATAAGGAAGCAAAGAGGGGCCTGTTTAAGGAGGAGTAAACTATTCTAAAATTTTTTTTTTTATGTTTATTTATTTTTTAAGGAAAGCAAGACAGAGTGTGAGCGGGGGAGCAGCAGAGACAGAGGGAGACACAGAATCCGAAGCAGGCTCCAGGCTCTGAGCTGTCACCAGCTCTGACGTGGGGCTCAAACTCACGAACTGTGAGATCATGACCTGAGCTGAAGCTGGTTGCTTAACTGACTGAGCCACCCAGGCGCCTCAGGAGTAAACTATTCTAGAGAAACTTGTCTTTTTAATAAAAGACAGTTGCTTAACTTGAATCATTTAGTATCTAAATTCATTGTAAGACAACTTGACCTTTTAAGCTCTGGTTGTAAGAATGGCTTTCCATTAAAGACATCAGGAAAGGGTATTAGCATGTTTTGAAAGCAAAGTTTTAAAACACAAGTATTAAATTTATTATAGTCAGACAAAATACTAAAGTATTAATTCACTTGGCAGAGAATACTTAATGTGTTCTATCTTAGATTGAGTTTTCATTTCATGCTTATTTTGAAATTGGCCTAGGGGCGCCTGGGTGGCGCAGTCGGTTAAGCGTCCGACTTCAGCCAGGTCACGATCTCGCGATCCGTGAGTTCGAGCCCCGCGTCGGGCTCTGGGCTGATGGTCAGAGCCTGGAGCCTGTTTCTGATTCTGTGTCTCCCTCTCTCTCTGCCCCTCCCCCGTTCATGCTCTGTCTCTCTCTGTCCCAAAAATAAATAAACGTTGAAAAAAAAAAAAAAATTGGCCTCATGTTAAGGATTCTACTTTAACATGTTTTGAATATTAGGAATGTATAATAGAGGAAACATGATACTGTATATAATGTAACACGGTAATATAATACAGGACAGCCATTGGGGCTATGTGGAAGTGAGAAAAGCTTTCCTCTGATTTGAAGACATTGTATAATTATCTCACATAGCAATATAGAATCAAGAATTTCTGTTTGGGGCGCCTGGGTGGCTCGGTGGGTTAAGCATCTGACTTGATATTGGCTTAGGTCTTGATCTCACGGCTGTGGGATCGAGCCCTGTCTCCGGCTCTGTGCCGAGCATGGAGCTTCTTTGGGATTCTTTCTCTCTCTCTCTCTCTCTCTCTCTCTCTCTCTCTCTCTCTCTGCCCCTCCCTGCTTTTATTCTCTCTCTCTCTCTCTCTCTCTCTCTCAAAAAAAGAGTTTCTGTTTCCTAACCTAATTTATGAGTTAGGAAAAGTTGATAACGTGTTGGGGTGCCTGGGTGGCTCAGTCGGTTAAGCATCCGACTTCAGCTCAGGTCTTGATCTCACGGGTTCTTGGGTTCGAACCCCGCGTCGGGCTCTGTGCTAACAGCTCAGAGCCTGGAGCCTGCCTTGGATTCCGTGTCTCCCACTCTGTCTCTGCCCCTCCCCCTCCCCTGCTTGTGCTCTGTCTCTCCCTGTCTCAAAAGTAAATAAACACTAAAAGAAAAAAAATTTTTTTAATAAAAAAAAAAGTTGATAACGTGTTGAAATCACAGAATTTCCAATACATACGTTCATTTATAATGGCTATTTGATTTTCAGAAGTTTTGCTGAACACCTAATATGTGTCTAATAATTGGTATGTGGGAGAGATGGAGTATGACCTGATGTTTTCTATTAGTTATGGTTCTTTTGTGTCCTCTATTCAGATACTAAATTCAATGAAGAAACTCTGGGTCAGTGGAAAAGGGAAAAAAGAGTTTGAGTTCATCAGGATAACCTGTAGAAATTCGTGGTGTTCAAGTTTGCTTTGATCTTTCAAACACTTATCTTTGTCACTATTGTCTAACCTTTTAGGTACTCAAAATGTCTTCAAATAAACAAATCAGTGGATGACTATAACGTACATTTCCTTGCAGGATAAATATTTAAACATCTTTCCTAAAGTTCCTGTGAGAGCAAAACACAAAAATAATAGGGGAGGTTGAGGATTGTTTTTGCGTCTGCTGATGAGTTTTTAGGTCCGTTCTAATTTTTCTTAGGCTCTAGGCACACATCAGTGCTTAATTTATGGTTATGCTAACCTAAAGATGCCATTGACTTTAAAAAATTCACGTATGTTTAGCATTGTTTTTTTCTCGCATTGCCAGTGTTTGAATCCAGCTTTCAGTCATCCTGTGCTCAGATCTGGTACATCCTACTGTTTCTCTAAATAGCATACTGTCCGTATTGTCAGCTTGGGAATGCATGGACTTCTGTGATTTACCAATGCAAGGTCTCTAAAATTTTGCTACTTGATTCACAAGCATACATTAATAATTTAAGATTAACAGTCTAGCCCCTTCAATTCCTTTTGTCAGTCAGGTGGGATTTAAATAAATGAATTTTCTTTTCTTTCTTTTTTAAGGTTTATAAAAAGAACTTGGGAGTATGCAGTTTTGGTGATGTTTGAACTTATGTAAGGCTTCCAACTGTCAGCTCTTTAAATTTCATTAATAATAAAACTATTTGCTTTATATTATTACTGAAACCTTACAAATCATCACTGTTTTATTTATCTGTCCATCCCCACCTTTACTGAGGTATAATTGAGAAATAAAATTGTAAGATATTTAAAGTATAGAGCATGATGATTTGATACATACATATATATTGTAAAGGGATTCTGTCAAGTTAATTCACACATCCAGTACTAGGTAATTTAAAAGTATACGATTCCAAAGCCTTATTGGAAGATGTGACGCGTTCACCTGAAAGTGTACAAGCTAAAACTGCTTTTTGTAGAGAGGGTTTAAAAAGCAACAAATAAAATGGATTGTTCACATGTATTGAATTAACCTACACTCTCTGATCCTTCTGGTAAAGAAAAATTGATACGGATCCGTAAATACAGAGAACAAAGTGATGGTTGTCAGAGTGGGTGGGGTAGGAGGATGGGCAAAATGGGCGAAGATGAGTAGGTGGTGCAGGCTTCCAGTTGCGGACTGCGCAAATCTCGGGGATGAGCAGTACAGCCCAGGGAATCTGGTCAGTGGTGTTGTAATAAGGTTGTGTGGTGACATAGGGGGTAGCTACACGTGTGAACATAGCATGATGTGTCGACTTGTCAGGTCACCATTGTACACCTGACACTAATGTGACATTGTGTGTCAGCTACATCTAAAAAGATTGCCTAAAAAGTAAAGAAATCAAAATTACATCATCCAAACTCCTTATACCATCGAATCCCAGCAAGACTATCAGTCTTTGTCCAAAGCATACTCTAGACTTGTTCTTGTTATTTGCTTAAATCAAGTATGAAGAAAATCCAGGATCCAACTTAAAAACAATTTGAATGCTTTGGTCATTAAGGTGAAATTATGAAGACTTTCAGTGAAAAATGAGGCAGTGGATGTTTATCCCTCTGGGCTTATAAATAATATTTGGTTTATTTGTAGGACTTGGGCAGAATGCTTTAGGCTTGACTTTGGGAACCACGGCAGCTACTTCAACTGCTGGCAGTGAAGGCCTTGGTGGTATAGATTTTAGTAGCTCATCAGATAAAAAGAGTAAGTAATGTTACTATAATTTTATGTTCTTACAGTAACTTAAACTCCTGTGTCTGGAAGATGTTAGTTACATATTAAGTAGTAAAGTTTTGACTTTTAAATTTGATTGTATTTCCCAAATGACGCATGTTGGTGTGTGTTTAAGATTTTCTTTTTGTAGAAAACTGAGATTTGTATGTGCATGTGCCTTACGTAGCTATCTTCACGTGTGTATTAATATATATTCTTAAGTTGGGATCATGAGCACATACCATAGTTGACACTTGAACGACACACTTTGAACTGTGCAAGTCCACCTCTGGATTTTTCCAATACGTAACAGCACCGGAAGTGTGTTTTCTCTTCCTTATAGTTTTCTTAATAGTGTTTTCTTTTCACTAGCTTATCTTATTGTAAGAATACAGTGTATAATACACATAACATACGTAGTGTGTGTTCATTGTTTATGTTATTGGTAAAGCTTTGGGTCAGAAGTAGGTTATTAGTAGTTAAGTTTTGGGGAGCCAAAAGTTATATGTGGATTTTCAACTGCCTGTGAGGTTGGCACCCCTTAACCCCTGTGTTGTTCAAAGGTCAACTATATTCCTTTATTTATAACCTGTTCTTTCTCATGTGTTCTATCAGAAGTATTTGCCAACTCAGTAATTCTTTAGAAATATTTTAATGTAGCTTAATATCAGTTTTATGAATGGATGTATCATTAGCCATCATTCTATTATTAATATTTGTTTTTAGGTCTTCTGGGAAGTATCACTGTATCGGGCATCTTTATAGGGAAAGGCATCTTAGTATTGTACTTTAAAGATGTACACTCGGGCTGAAATTGCCTGGGTTCAGATCTGCTCAACTGTTTACAAGCTCTGTGACCTTACTCAAGTTGTTTATGCCTCTGGGCTTTAGTTTCTTTATCTGTAAAGTGGGCCCAACATAACAGTACCTACTTCATGGTGTTGGTCTGAGGATTACTATTCACAAAACTTCAGCAGAGCCAGGCAAACAGTAAATGCTGTCTAGGTGTTTGCTTTTAGTATAACTTTTCATTCATATTTTCAGTTAATTCTTTAGGACAGATAACCTAGAAACTGAATCATTGGTTTGGAGAGAGAAACAATTTTGGAGACTCTTAGTGTATATTGTGAAATTACTTTCCAGAAAGGTTTTACCAATTTATTTCCCACCAGCCGGTATGAAAATGCCCTTCTCACTATGCTCCTGCCATGCTGGGTATTCTTTTTAAAAATTGTCAATCCAGATTCATTTTCAAAAGTTTTTTAGTGTTGCTGGTTCCATGTGTGTGATTGTTTGTTTTGTTTTGCAATGTCTCTTCTGCCTCTGATGAAAACATGTTCACTAGGGCATATGCATGCACATTGCATTAAAACCCCATGAAGAATTAAAAATGAGGCAGTAGATGAAGGTGTAAAATGTGCTGTGTCCATATGTGAGAATTTTTTGTTTTGGACATGGTTTTTATTGTGAAGAGATACTACGCTAGGGTGAAGTACTATCCTAAAAGTTGGCAAAATCCTTTTTTTTTTTTAAAGTTCATTTTTATTTTGAGAGTGAGAGAGCATGCATGTGCACGAGCTGAGGCAGGGCAGAGGGAGAGGATCCCAAGCAGGCTTGCACTTGATCTCACAAACCATGAAATCATGACCTGAGCCAAAATCAAGAGCTGAATGCTTAACCAATTGAGCCACCCAGGCACCCCTGGCAAAATCCTTTTAAACTTAGAATATTTAGGATTGTTTTTCTTTGAATGAAAATTGACTAATTTCTTTTTTTTTGTTTTAATGTTTTATTTATTTTTAAGACAGAGACAGAGCATGAGTGGGGATGGGGCAGAGAGAGGGAGGGAGACACAGAATCCGAAGCAGGCTCCAGGCTCCGAGCTGTCAGCACAGAGCCCGACGGGGGGCTCGAACTCACAAACCGTGAGATCATGACCTGAGCCAAAGTTGGACACTCAACTGACAGCCCCCCGGGTGCCCCGAAAGTTGACTAATTTCTAAACATAGGGGTGTATCTCTCGTTTTTAGTTTTCTGTGTGGCGACTCCATACTTAGAAAAAACCTTAGATATTTTAGCAGCTAATTTTTTTACTCAGCTAGAGCAGCTTGGTACCCTCCAGCTACTTTCATTCATGAAACTGCTTCTCTCTTTATTGTAATTGCTTTTAGGCTCCATGTGAAAGGGCTGAGTGAGGCAAAGGAGGAAGAGAAATGTGAGGAGTTAATCTCCCCTCTTTTTCCTGGGCCCTCCCTCCATTGTCTTCCGCTCACAACCTTGGTGAGAGTTGAACCAAAAGAATACGTGGAATAAGCGCACGTGACTTCATGTGCCACCTCTGGTTCCCTGTCATTTGCTACTACGTGTCAAGGGGTTCTTTTTTAACCTGAGGCTTTCTGTCTTTCTAGTGGCTATATCAATTAGCCTGGACCTGCGTTACTGGATTTAATCAGATCAAGAGTGGTAGGAAGCAAAGTTGTGTGAGGAGGCGCGGTATGGAGCTGGGCCTGGGGATGAGGATGATCTTAGCCCTTTTCTGAGGAACTGCTGGAAGACCAGCTACAGAACAGGACGATGAGATTCCAGAGGTCACCAAGGGCCTTGTGTGCCACGTTAAGGAGCTTTGGGTTACACTGGGGACGGCTGAGACCTCGCAGGGCTGTGATGTGGGTGATGTGACCTGAGATACGTGTTTGAAGAAGACGGTTAGGAGAGCCACGTGGGAGATGGTGTGCAGGAAGGCAAGAGCAGACGCGGAGCTCTAGTAGGACGCTCTTAAAGCAGCCCGCGGGTATTAAGAGAGGCAAAGCTACACGCACTAGTCAGCGCGCCCAGAGTGAGCTAAAAGCAGGCCTAAGTTTTATATACACAGGTTTGTCTGTGTGTAAACTTTTGTAAATATAATAAAAATGGAATGTCAGAGAGCAAAACAGTACTTGAGTCAATAAAGAAGTTGAACTATCTAGAAAAAAATTAAATCCCTACTTTATATTGCCGTGTCTCATCAAATTGGAGACACCCATCTGGAGAACGTGGGTACCAAGTTCAGAAATGTTAAATTGTGAAGGAGAAAAATCTTAGCATCTGTGCAATACAACATATGGAAAAATAAACTAAGTTGGATTAAAGAGGTAAACAAAAGAAACCCCATGGACAAAGGAAGAAGGTAAATGACAAATTGGGACTAAAATGCTTCATTTCTAGATGCTTATATTTTCACATTTTAACATCTGAAACTGAGATATATCTTAAAAGTAGGATCTAATTTTAGAAATAGACACATGAAATACATGAGACAAAGAATTATATACTTAATGTTGAAATAGCTCTTAGAAGCAATAAGAAAAATACCTCAGAGATACCCAAATAACCTGAACAGACTGTTCACAAAAGGAGAAATATACTTGTTTAACATTTGAAATATTTTACTTAGTACTGTCAGAAATAGGAATTTGGATTATAATGAAGTGGCATTTTCCACTTCAATACTAGCAGTGATTTTTTTAAAACATAAGTTCATTGTTGAGAGTGTGATGAGAAAAGTACTTTTTTTTTTTAATGTTTATTTTTTATTTATTTTGAGAGAGAGAGCACGAGCAGGGTAGGGGCAGAGGGAGAGAGAGAGAATCCCAAGCAGGCTGTGCTCTGTCAGCGCGGAGCCCGGCGTGGGGCTCGATTTCACAATCCATGAGATCATGACCTGAGCCAAAATCAAGAGTCAGACTCTTAACTGACTGAGCCACCCAGGTACCTTGGAAAAGCTACTCTTATTCATAGTAGTTGGGAGGATAAATTGGAACAACTGTGTTAAAGGATCAGTTTGATAATATGTCAGAGGCCTTCCCTGAAATAATCTTTGACCTATAAATTCTTCTTTTTTGGAATACAAATAAAGTAGTGAACAAGTATTTATGGATAACTATATCGACTGTAGCAGCATTGTTTATGTAGTGAATGCTCATATGTTAAGAAGAGGGTTGGGCATAAAGGTTCTGATACAGCTACATCATCATATCCTATGGTCATTTAAAGTCACGTTAAGTGACATGGAAAACTTAGAACATGCTGAAAAAAATGTGTTGAAATATTACTTCTAGTAATCCTGACTGCTTTTAAAAATGTGTAAGTACAGAAAAAGCCTGGAAGACGGACCACTGAGGTTCTTTGGTGGGATTCAGTTTTGTGTGTTCCTATATATTTTTTTAAATAAGCGGGTCTTGGGGCGCCTGGGTGGCTCAGTCGATTGGGCGTCCATCTTCGGCTGAGGTCATGATTTCGTGGTTTGTGAGTTCAAGCCCCGCGTCGGGCCCTGTGCTGACAGCTCGGAGCCTGGAGCCTGCTTCCGATTCTGTGTCTCCCTCTCTCTCTGTGTCTCCCCTGCTCACCCTCTGTCTCTGTCTCTCAATAATAAATAAACGTTAAAAAAAATTTTAATAAGTGGGTCTTTATAGTGACAAATTTTGGAAGAGCAGAAAGTAAGTCACTGCATTTTGCTGAAGGAGCTTTACTTTTCTGCTTATATAGATCTATGCTATTAATGATAACTACTAAGTAGGTGTAATTAGTGAGAAAGTTGTTGCTATATCTGCACACATTAAAGACTTCATTTTTTAAAAAATTTGCTGCTTTTGTAAAATATTTAGAGATGATCAGGTCATCTGATATATTTTAATATTCTAATCTAAAAAAGTGTCAAGTAAAACTTTCAGGAGTTAAACTGCTAGGCCGGAATATTTTTCATGGAAGACAGTTGAAAGAGGAAGATTCGGCCCTTGAATGAGATAGATACAAATCGGCTATATAACTGTCTGTTTATATGTACACAAACATGTTTCCATAACGTGCTCTGTTTCAAGTTGGTGACACGTCATGGCCTCACATGCTGTTTAAGAGGCAGTCTAAAAAATGCTGAACAGTTTCTGTATATACCTTAGCTTGCATTAAATTGAAACTTCTATTTGGAAGACATTGTTGAATGACCTGTTTTTACATGAAGCTTCTTGAATTTTCTAGGTGATAAAACAGGAACAAGACCAGAGTAAGTTTACAGTCTAACTTTTAAAATATTTTAATTGAGTTTTATTTATTAAATAGTAGGCAAATGGTATGGTTGGAAGTAAATGAAACCATATAGGCATTTAGAAGAAAAATTCTTCGAATCAGTTTTTGTCAAAAATAAATAATAAACCTATGCTCTGGAAAGATTATGGGATGGTCAAATCTTCAAGTTTTAATCATTTGGAAAACTTATAACCAATTCTTTCTAGAACACTTTATGCCCAATTTTATATCTAAACATACCTTTTATATGTAAGTTACTACACCAGTACCATTTATTTTATGATGATGAAGAGGGAGAAGAGCCTCCATATACGTCATATGTTCGAAGATCATTATTTTTACTACCACTTGTATTTTCTCACCTCCTTTTTACATTAAATAAAACATTTGTAAATAAATGATCAAGTTCATGCCTCTAAAACATCTTGTGTATATTTTAGCCCTATTACATAAATAGGAAGCTGAAAGAGACTGAGATTTGCCTAGAGGTTATGGCAAGGAGTTAGTAGCAAATCTGTGACTGAAATTTAACTGGTAATTACATTATGGCATGCCAAATTTCACTTATTCCTATCCTCATTACACATGTATGATTTCCTTAAGCTATTCCTAGGTCTTATTTTATTGAAAAACAAATTGAAATTATACAATAAAGTAAAATATTTGGAGCCTCTCATGAGAAGTTTTGTAGACTGTTTAAAGAATTTTTTAATATTTTTTAACTGAATGAAATGACAGTCGTAGAATTTTTGAGCCGGGGGAACTTAGTTCAATATTTAATCTGTTGTATTTTCTAAATTTTTTTCTTAAACATTTAGTCAAATGCATTTATGTTTACTTATAATAGGTGCCAGTCTTTTTAGAAAAGATCTCTCTATGTCAGGTGAATTGTTAAAGTTATTTTAAAGGTCAAGAAATTTATAGTTGTTTATAAAGAGCTTTGAAATCATTCATGAAATGTATAAATGGGGAATATTTGCCTTATTTGCTTCTCTCTTAACATACTCTGGTGGAACTCAGCCGTCAGCTTTTTATTACCTCAATGGCTTTAATACATCTGTGGCATTTTTCTTAGGGACAGTAAAGCACTGAAGGATGAAAATCTACCTCCTGTCATCTGCCAGGATGTTGAAAATCTCCAGTAAGTGTGTCAAACATAATTCGATAAGTCATTTTGAAGAATGCTAGCATATATTTTAGGGGGAACATCTCTTTCTCTTAAACGTTTTAACTTGGGTAAAAATTTTAATGTTTTTAGAAACTACAGACAAAGCAGAACAGGACTTACATTTTTGTTAACTGTCATTCTCAAAAAAGAATGTGAACTGTAGTTGAATTTTTAATATTTCCTTCTTAAAACACTAGGACTCTGGCCAGCCTGTTGTAAGGGTACTTTTTTCCTATAAGAAACCAAAGGTGTATTTTTTTTTCAACTTAGTTTTATGTATCGTTTTAGGAAATTTGTGAAGGAACAGAAACAGGTACAAGAAGAAATTAGTAGAATGTCTTCAAAAGCAATGCTTAAAGTACAAGAAGACATTAAAGCTCTGAAGCAACTTCTGTCACTAGCTGCCAGTGGGTTACAGAGAAACACTCTCAATATTGACAAGTTGAAAATAGAAACTGCTCAGGTAAATGAACTTACAGTCGTTTTACCGTAGGGTTTTGTTTTGCCATGTGTTTTTCAAATGAAATCAGTCTTTTATAAAATCAGGATTTACTACATATAGCTTGTACAGTTTTAAATTGCTGTAATAATAATGGTTGCTAGTTCGTATTGAGTGCTTACTGTGTATGAGGCAGTGTTTTTTTGTTTTTTAGTTTTTATTATTGAGAGAGACAGAGAGCACGAGGAGGGGAGCGGCAGAGAGAGAGGGAGCGAGAGAATCCCTAGCAGGCTCTACACAGTGTGGAGCCTGATGCGGGGCTTGAACCCATGAACCATGAGATCATGATCTGAGCCAAAGTCAGATGCTTAACCAACGGAGCCACCCAGGTGCCCCATATGAGGCGGTTTTTTAAGCAGTTTATTAGTCCGGTTTAGTTTTCATGACAGCTCTGT